TTATATCCATATACATACTCAATGCCGATTTCAAATAATAATAAATAAGTACCTATAATCTATATGCGCTTTGTTGATTTACTCGAATGCGAAATTATAAATATTATTCTTTTATTCGTTCGCTAAAAAATTATTATTGGTACGATTAATTCGCGGTAAAGATACAAACCTGTTATATAATATTGCATTTACTAAAAAAAAAAAAAAAACGAGTGTTTACTTAAGCCCGGAGCGGTAAAACAAAAATATAAAATATTATCAGATACCTATTATAATAAATATGACGCGATATTCGGTATAAAAACGTGATAGCTATAAAAAAAAAATAAATAAATGTTCGGTATAACTAAATAGGTACGCATAAATATTACTAGTTTTATCAAAAAACATCTAAACTGCACAACACTGTAGTATAGTATAATGTATACGCCTTGGACATTTTTTTTAACGATTTTTCCTGTTCCGTCGGATCTTATTTCTGTTATAAGTTTGTAACGAATAGCCCCGGTATTATTGTTATACGTATAAATATGTATTGTTTTGTCCATTTGTTTCGGCTGTTTACTACCGACTGTTTGCTAAATTATTATATTAATCATCGATTGAATTCCTTATCGCTCATTGGTTCTACAATATGAATACACAGGTACTTCGTTGTTTCCTTTCACCTGCTGTACTATGCAGCACTTGTTCGGGATCGGCGAACCAAACGACTTTTCCTGCAGTGTAACGACCCGACGTGAATAGTATTTCCCCTTTTGTTCGTCATTTCGAGACGGGCAACGCATACATCCTTTTCCCCTTGCACATAATATTATTATTATTACCTTTACCCGTATACTCGCATCGTCCCTCCTTTAAACATCTCTCTTTTGTCACCGCCTAAAACTCCGCGAATAATTTCCTTGGGTAATTTCACTTATAATACTTTTTGACTGTGTCCGTCCAGGCACCTGCACGATGGACGCGTTTATCTTATTCACCCGCCCATACGCGTTCACGGGTTTCTCGTTTACAATGTGCATTATGTGAAATAATAATATATTCTTTTCAGCGAGCAAATCTAAGGGTACATAATATTATTCGGCCGTTTCGTTATTATCGTCGCTGACCGGGTACGTTTTAAGGGAAAATCACTGGTCGGTTTATATAGATAATCACAAATATAATACGTTTGAAAAACTCAATTTCCACTTTATATCATCTGTATCATCAAATATAGATAACTTGCGTATTATTTCGAAAACAAATAAAATACAACCGAACATCTATTTAACAAACACTATCTTAATATTACACGTTAAAAAGAAATAGGTAATAATTTTATTCAATTTAAAATCTAATTTTTACTTTATAAAATTGTATGTACCTATTGTATTATAATGTATGTATTAAATTTTATATATAATAAATATCAAAGAATTAACTAAAATAAAAAAAATATATATAAAAATGATAGAATGTTTACTTGGTATGATATTAAGTATGATAGCATACGGTATCTACTCTTGACGAGTGAGTACTTTGTAAACAACAATATCTTTTATATTTATTGAAGACAACTAACACAAAATTAATTCGTTAAATAGAAACGTTTTTGAATGAAAATTTCATGAATATTTCACAAAATATTTTGTTACACGGAGAGTTTCATTAAATAGAAGTTTGTTAAATAGAGGTTCCACTGTATATATATATTTGTTACAAAACTCAGACATACTTCGCAACACGGGTAGGCCGCTTTTGAAGGTGAGAAGTTTCGAAGTATAGATAATAATATAGGGTCATTTAGTTTATATCTTTAGGAGTCGGGCCCGTGGAAAAAAGACTTAAGTCAATTTTCGGATTTTTTTTTTATAATTCCGTCGTAAGTTATTTGTTTACCTTTTATTTTTCGGATTAAATGCCATACACGTATGCATTTTCAAACATTTGATCTTCAGAAAACTGAACTAAACTAATTTAAACATTTCTTCCTTAGGCCTAACGATACACGAAATCAAGTAGCTACAAGCAGTAGTAAATATGTTTGTAATCGAAAAAAACGATATTAAGTAGATTTTGGTAAACTGATTAAGTTTTAGTATATTAGTCGTGTTTTTTCGCCTTGTGGTCAAGGCAACCCGAAAATGAACAAAAATAAAATCGATATGTACCTGTCGTCGTTGTCTGTTCAGATTTAAATTTTTTTCGAAAAACTTTTATGGTACTGTATGTGAAAAATCACTAGCAATTGTGCTAGCTGAAATAGTGTTTTTCGAAGGGAAAGATAAGTGGGGTTTCGCACAAGTATTAACCCGAATAAATCCACCTAGCCGAAATACGAATTAAAAAACCGATCGAAAAAATGAACCAGAAACAAATTAATATTTTCCATTAGGTTATTTATTTAAAGACGCAATCTGATGACTATGTCGAATTGTCATTGAAAATTTCACGTTAATTGACGTACACGCGCAACTCGGAGGTATTTTTTCGACAACCGAATTTCACCGTGAATACATTTGTGTTTAAAACAGTAACCAGAATCGACTCGACACGCCGGAATTTTATTTCAACACTCAAATAAACGATTGTACATCGCAGTGACACAAATACACGACTTAAACAAACAGTGGCGAGTACAGGATTATTTTTTTCTCTCGGTAGGTGCTCTGTTTATAATAATTTCCTAGATTAGGTAGCGCATATTTTAAGTATACGAGTGATGCCGTTATTAATACCGGACAAACGATTTTCGACGAAATTAAATGTTATTTCTTCGTTGCGCGGCGCATGATATTAGTATGATAATATGTGAAACTCGATTTTAGAAAAAAAAAAAAAAAAAAAAAAAAAACGTAGCGAACGGCGCGAACGTTTCGGGGGTAGGGGTCGACTCTCCCGCCGCGCGCGCGCTACGCCTCGAAATCCGCGCAAATCACGCGACGCGCCGGTATAAACGTACCCGCTGTGCGGTCGTACACCGAACGGATATCGCGGTAAACATTGTGATGTTGTCAACGGTATCGACGCGTACAGAATCGCCGGGCATTGCGCAATATTCCGTTTTACGAAACACGCCCGCGCCGGTCCGGTCGGCCAACGCAATAATCGGCCGTTTGCTCGCGGTCATTATCGCGGTTGCGCCCCCCCCCCCCCCCCCCCCCCCCCCCCCCCCCCNCCACCCCCTCACCCCTAACCGCCCCCCCCACGACGGACGCCGCCCCCACCCGCGGGTGTGCGGACCGCCGCCGCGGCACTCGTCGTCCGCAGCGTTTTTATACGTTCACGGTTTTTATTTATACGGTCCGGTGTTACGGTGTTAATGATGTAAGACATTAAAAATAACGTGAGAATGATTCTCCGGCCTATGCGTCCGTACCGCGCTGCAGTTCTCAAATGCACCGGCGGGGCAACAATGACATATAAATAAATAAATAAATAAATAAATACCTCCGCCGTATGCGTACGCACACACACACACACACACACACACACACACACACACATGTATACACGCATAAAAAAGGACGACGACGACGACGACGCGGTAATAAAGTGAACCGAGACAACAATGGTACCTATGCGTGCGCAAGGTACGCGGACGAGTCGAGGGCGAAAAGACGTCGGAACGGCTGCAGACGCAGAGAGAGAGAGAGAGAGTGAGAGACGCGAGAGAGACACGAGCGAGAATCGTCGTATCCAGCGCGACAATTACGATAATATTTTAATCGGACGAAATGAGATATTTTCACGTCGTATGCTTTATGGTCCGGACGCGTGGCGGCGGGCCGCGGAATGCGCGGGACACACTCGCGTGCCGCGTCTTGTACCGCACGCGGCAATGTCGACTCCGGACGTTCGAACGGTTCAAATGATATTGTGCGGATCACTTCGGTGGTTTTTTTTAATTTTATTTTCACGAGCGAATGCCGATGCGCTCGAAACGAATCCTCGAACCGAGAATGTTGTGTCGCCATAAAACCGAAAAATGAACTCGGCAATTTCAATTGGCTGCATTGTAAAGAACTCGAAAGACGACAGCGTGTTTTGAAAATTGTATCGCACGTACAGAAATAGCTGATTTATAAGGAATCGGTGAAAAACTCAAGGTTTCTGCACCATTATTTTTAACTGCGGAGTTGAGACAAAACATAGAAAAAAAAAAAAAACTCGCAAATAACAGTAACCCCGTTATATCGCGTAAACATTCCCGTTTTTCCGACGTTATCCCGCGCTGTTTCCCGATTAATTAAGAAAACTACCGGGAAAACGGCGTGCAACATGCGATTGCAATTCACCGATCGGTCAACGTCTACTACCAGAAACCACTCTCGAAGTCGACGATTGGAACCAGATTTCTTGTCGAGAAGTCGTGAAACCAGCACATTCTTCGCCGCGCATACATATTTCGCAATATTAGAGTAGACGCTAAGATACGTGCAGGTATAATAAATACTCGTTTATAATTTTTCGGGAGAAATTCGATTCGAATTAAATATTTTACATTGACGTAGTTTTCAACATCCAGTATTCGTGTAGTATGCAATTCGTTTAAAAAGGCGGATGAAAAAAAAAAAAAAAACATTAAAATTCAATTTTCTCGTTTGTACTTACCTGTGTATAATGCTATGCAGCTCTAGTTATTGAAATAATTATTATCTTTGATGTCTGTTCTTCGCGGATCCGAAACTCGATTCGTTTAAACAAACAACAAATATTAACCGCGTAAACGCGAAAATAATGTACGCAAACATTAAATTATTGTTTCGAACAATATTACTGTCGCAATACGATTTTCATAAATTATACGAGATTTTCTTCTGACGAGCACATAAATATTACACGTGCTCGCGTAAATATTTGTCGCAAATTATAAAATCCTGTTCAACGATGATTACGGTTTTAATGTATTTATATTTTAATTTGTCAATGTTTAACGATACTTTACCAGTTGTATACTGTGTCCTTTATGTTATATCATTGTTAGACCGATTAAAAATTAAACCTATTGTTATTGTAAACATATATATATATATTTTTTTTTTTTAATTGTGTTTTTAACGTTACAATACAAAAACCGACTATAGCTCACCGAGAATTGTGACTTGAAAAGGAGAAAACTCGGAAAACGTTAAAATGTTGTATTTGTAATATGTACACAGGCAGTAACACGAACTGTAATTGCGATCGCGTCTAGATGATTCGTAAATTCCGACTATCTCAATTACCATCGTACGTCGCGCAACAATTGCCGTTTCATATTTGCGTAGGTTTTCGTATACCGTGGCCGCCGTGAAAAAAGCTACTTAAACTTTATTCGACTGTGATTTCAATCGAGAATTGATCGTGTCAAATGGTCCACAAACTGTTTTTGGTATCACTCGGACGCGTTTTACTTTTTTCTTTTTTTTTATATTTATATATATATGTATAATAAACGTATTATAAAAGTGAAATTAAGCATTTAAACATGGTTTTTTTTTTTTTTTTTTTTAACATTTATTGGTCACTTTTTGCGTTACGACGACGATAGAATATGTGTATTCTGTACCGACTGTACCACTTCCATACTCCTCTCGGCAATAGTGACTTTGTCAGTGGGTATAGGCGTTAGTGTCCACCCGTGGAATGAAGTATGTCCGGTTTTCGTTTTTATACAGCAAAGTGGACGGGACACGGAAACTGTTACCCAAACCTAATGGTTAGGCTAAATATATTGGTTTTACTGTGTGTGTTTTTTTTTTTCGTTTTTGTGTGTAAGCAAATTTTCTACGAAACATCTCGTTCTGAATTATCAAGTGTAGTATCTTTTCTGAAAGGAAATTTTATCTAGTTGGTGTATTGAGAAGTCACGTTTCCATGATTTTCCAAGTAGTTTTCATAATTTCGAGAAAACCGGAAAACGACGAAAAATGAAAAACGAATAAATTTACGGCGTACGTTCAATTTTTACGCACGATATTTTCTACCATAAATAATGCTCTAAAAAAAAAATTATACAAAACATTTTCTTTGAATTTTTAATCTAGTTCGTGGGTAATAAAGTCTTTTTTTATTTTTCCTACAATTGTTTGAATAATTGAACAAAAGCAAAAAAAAAAAAACCTAGAAAGAACGGGAAAATTTACGAAAATAATGCTTTTATTTTTAAATTTCAGTTAAAAATCTACGTAGAGGTTTGGAATTTTGACAAAAAATTATATTTGTCTTTCCAAACGTGATAAAATTATAAAAACCTTTGAGTCATTTTTGAGTTTTTTTATAGAGATTTTAATTTCGCGAGGTTTTTACGCAATTTTTATGTGGTGCGGATAAAATTATTAGACTCGAGAAAAATGCTTGACAATTTAACAGAAGGTTCATTATAAGTCATGCTTAGTGGTTAGAAAAAAAAATTAAGTGTAATATAGTATATTTTTTTTTTTGTTTTTTTTTTGTACAAATGTCAATATAAACTTTTTACAAAAGTCGTAATTATTACGACCTTTCAAAATATGTATAACCGAACTTCTCTCCAAATTGTTTTTCGTTTTTCGTGTTGCTTACAGATATAAAATAAAAACTTTATGTATCCTATCAACAACTTCCCACCTACAACAGTGGATCAGCTCTATTTTTAAATTCAGTTAATTTAGTAAATGTACACGAATAGTTTACATTTTTTTCTTAAAACAAAGTCCTACACGAAAACGTTACACAAAAATGTTTAAATGTTGAACTTTAAAAGCGTATACAAATAATTACTACACAACGCTAAATTTATTTTTTATTCATCACTGCAGAGGTATAACTTGTAAAGAACCTTGTGTATAATTATAATTGTTCAGTATTTGGAGAAATGTACGATTAAATCGATATTTCATTATTGCGTAATATGTATAGTATCAGCTAACATTGTAAGGAAATAAACTTAATCCTGCCTAATAATTATTTCTATTTTACTACTGTTTATTTTTTTTTATTTTTTTTTTTTTGTTTTTTTTTTTAATCCTTGCAACGTTATCTTTATAACTATAATACATATAATACAATAATATACCTACGTATATAATGTGTCATATCGAACGAAACTCGATCAGTAATATTTCAAAATGTACTTGTGTATTTAAGTACTTATATATGGCTATATGGTATAATATCTAAGTCCTAGGTATAATAGATTTGTATAGACACTGAACGATGGTGATTAAGTAATAGTGAACTCGGAGTTCTAACAATAATCGGCGGCGTTATTTCACATTTTCTCATGGGATGCAAAACCGATATTGAAAATCTAAATCAATACCGAAATCTTGGCACTAGGTACCACATTAGAGACGAAATGTCAAGACATTCGCGTGGAATACTCACAATTCTTTTTATAAAATTAATTCCAAAAACCTAGGTATTTCAGTTATATTTAAACCCGACTGTTTTTATATCAAACTAAAATGCACACGAATAACTCAACGAGTTCATTGTCAGAAATACATAATATTATACTGTATAGGTAATGAACATAACAAGTTATCGTATGTAAATCGTATAATATAGGCAGTAACAACCCTAACAACTCCGCAATATACCTGTAGGCGTTTTGAAATAAACATAATTTAATTATGTATACCCTGAACTTAAGAAAACCGAAGCGGTAGTACAAAGTTGTTTTTATTTTTTACGAACCGATAGCTAATATCTCAACAATGTGTTACCGTTAAAAAATATACTACTATAGGAGATGGCATCATTATCTAGTAGGTACTTGTCATCATTTCCGAAATTTATTATCAGGATAAAACTTATACACGAGGACGGAAACAAATCGCGAAAGCCTAAATACTCGATCCGGTTTCTGTTTCATACGAAACAGCATCAACAACTAATGACGCTTCTGGAGGCAGCATTTTAAGTAAAATTTTGAAAATGTCTTGTAAAAAATATCTCATCAAACCGCTATTCAACAACGGCTGAAAGAAATAAATAAACGATATACTCGAAATCTTCGTATAGCGACAATCGCTGCAGATTCGCGGTAAAAAAATCCACAATGACGAAAATGAGATTATTTTTTCCTTTCTATCGCATTTCAATGGAAATTATCGTTTAATACATTTTTAATGCGTGTTGAGACGATATCACTTGTTCGCAGATTAGGGAGTGTAACATGGATGGCGGACCGTGGTTAGGATAGGTCGTCGTTACCGATTTTCCGGTCTGATGTCCGAAAATGTAAAGAAAAAAAAAAAACACAACAAATAAACCGGGACAATATTATTAAAATATATCGGCGTTTAAATTTAAATTTCGAGGTTCGCAAAACATTATAATACACAGTAATTATGTACCTACTTCGAAGACCGTTGTCCGAACGATAATGATCGTCACGATTAATTTTTTATGCATACAAAGTGATGTTTTTATCGCGGCCCATTACCATTGTTACAATTCATTGCCCTAACCTACTGCTCCGATATAAATTCTAAACTCATAACACTTATAACTCATCAACGGTAAATCCAATATTATTTAGTGTTAATATGCATATCAAAAACTTGTATAAAAAAAAAAAAAAAATTATTTTTCGATTCTTTATTGAATAGCGCTTGGAGGAGAGAGTGTGTTTAAAACTAAATATTGTATTCTTATTTAAGGTATGAGAACTGGGTGTAAACGATTGGAAAAAATGTCAGAGTAAAGCTTAAACATATTGTATTATAATGATTACAAATGAAAAAAACCAATCAAATTTACTTGAAATCTTTCGAGAAAAATTGACGGACCGTACTAAAAGAATCACACTATATTTGGTAATATCATAAAAAAAAAAAAAAAAAAAAATAATGAATGTGAATAATCGCCAACTGTAATAGGTACGTACACGTCGCTACGTCAGTATTAAATTTACCGGTGACGGTTATTTTAAAGATACATTCGTCGTTTGATTATTTTTTTTTAAAAGTATTTTACCTTCGACATTTCTGTAGGTATTTCACAGTATATTTATACATTTTTTTTTTTCAAATCAAACATCATCGTTACTTTTACGGCGTTATTTTTCTGATTCGGCGTTTCTAATCCGTTCTTATTCTCCGCTGACGATTGGTCTCAGTGTCTTTTACATTTCCCTTTCAAAGACGATAGACGTTTATTGACACCGTTAGAAATTATTAATACCGTTAGGACTATATAGTGAACATTTTAAGTGATATCATACCCAGTCTAATATATTATCTAAATTAACAAGTCATTATTGAAGGCTTCACGGTTCATAATTTTTATGGACGTATACCATTCAAAATCATTAAACACGGTATTATTATTATTATTACAATATACCCATGATACTTAAACTTGATTTTAATTTCAATATATTATACGATAGCTTATACCTGCCCACGTTAAGTATGACAATACCGAATATATAAATTACTTCGAGGTACCTAACTAATTACGTTGGTAAATCTTTATGGTCACCGCGAATTTCGCACGCTTCAATACTTAACGAATTCGTAATAAAGGCGAAGCAATGGAAAACAAATTATTTACGACGACCATTATAATTTTACAATTATTATAGTTGGTATAGCAGTATAGGTAAAGTATAATTTCCGTTTTAATCTAGATTTGTGTTGTTCCAATTAATATTTGTATTATTATTGTTATTACTTGTTATTTATTATTAGGCCATCGCCGTGGCTGTTTCAGACGGAACAGGTACCCCACCGAAATTAATTTTTACCACAGTATATTTCTCGTTTTTTAAAACAATTTTTTATTGACGGCAGTAATTAAAGTATTATTTAATTATTATAATTATTGTTTGCATTATTATTATTTTTTTATTTAAAAACAAATACATTTTTAATCAAGATTAATATTGTTGTTAATAATAATAATAACAGTCTAAACAGTGAGATGGTGAGATTTTAGTTTATACTCTAAACTAAAACAATTATTTTAGAGTGAGTATTATACATAGGTATAGATTATAGATAGGTTTGTAGTTTTTATTTTTGTTAAACCAATGTGAAGAAAATTAAATTATTATAATAAAACAGCGTAGTAAAACCAATGCATTCCTCGTTACGCCCAGAACCTAAAAAAGGTAGGATATTTAAAGTAATATTTTTAAGTGTCATTGCCATTGCGCTCAAAACGTATATAAAAATATCATTATTATTATTTAGTCGAGCCCACCTGAGTATCTATTTATTTTAGATTCTGAACAAAGGGAAGATATTAGTTTACTATGACAAGTAATTTTTTTTTTTTAAATCTGATATGGACAACTTTTTAATGCATAGGTACATCCTACTCCAATCATAAACATCAGGGATGGATTCTCGTGTACCAAATTTTGTCTAGTCGGTATGTTGGAAAGGTCTCTTTTACATTTTTCTTGTAGTTTT